GGTTCATGGGGTCACGAAGAGTCAGACACGACTTAACGACTAAACAACAACAACAACAATTTAATTTCTAATTAAATGTCTAATTTACTAATTGAATATGAATATTATTTACCAGCTTGATCAACTGCCTTTGTTTCCAAAATGTTTGAGTTCCTTTGGATTTTGCTGCTCCTGTAGTGCACATTCTGAGGATTTTCATCAGTACAAACAGACATGAAGCGACATTTCTAAAAGAGCCACCTTTTTCTAGCACTGTAAACCCCAAGTCAGTTTTTAACAAAGGTGAAATATTTTGTGTTACAGACAGTGACGCTGTCATACAATGTTGAAAATGTCTCCTTAGGCAGATCCCATTAACTCTACACATATGCCTTGGGATATGCCTCAGCTTTTCCTCATGGTATTAGGCAAGGAGGGGCTAAATCTTGTTTTATCTTTCAGATAAAGACTAACATGTAGCATTTATTGCTTCTAGAATCATGCTGCAGATGGCACTAAGAATACATATTCTGATCTTTAAAAGCAACAGTCTTCAAAGTAGTCTACCAAAGAAATTTGACTGCAAAGATTATATACCAGCTGAAACTTTCTGAGACAACAAAACTTTTTTTTGTATTACTTTTTATCTGAGCCCTATATGTAACAAGGTATTACTAGTTTGTTTTTTTTTCTCTTCTGAAGTGTAAATAGATTGTATCTAATGGTCATGATTCTGCAAGTATGTTCCAGTGGCATTTTCTGCCTATTCCATCAGAAATTCCACCAAATTTATCAGGATCTACTATATGCCCAAGCAGCCTTAATATTACACAGTAAAAGAAAATAATAAAACATTGGGGACTGTGAAGACTGTGGCCATGCCTTAGAGGTAATTCATGGGTTCACTAGGTACTTGGCTGTTTCATGTTTGCAACAGTAATCTTGTAAAAGATAAAGGTTGAATACATTTCTCAAAATATTTAAGCATCTGGAAAATCACAATTATTGCTGAACAAATTCAGCATTTCTGTGACAAAAGTATCTCCATTATAAAATATGAATTAACTTTCAGTATGGTTCATTCTTATTTAGGTGAGTTTGCAATTAATCAGATACTCTTTGTATCCCCCAGTATACTTATGGTTAACCTGGGTTTGCTCAGTCCAGTTTTCTGGGTGTGCATAATGCTGAACCCTCAACTAATCATACTGGCTGGGGTTGAATAATACCTTTGGCTACAGTGCATTTGTCTTCCCTTTATTTGGTTATTTAAATATTTAAAGTGTTTATAGAATATTACTTTTCCAATACAGCATTCCATGGATTAAACTTAGAGTCTTTAAATGCTTCACAAATTACCAAAATGCATATTTATGGAATCAGACTCAGCAAAGCCCATTGATTACAGTTAGTGTGTGCTAATTAACTACATATGATCAGTCTGTTTCAGTGTAAGTAGGCTTGCTTGGAAGTTCCACCAATTTTAAGGCAGATATTTTTCTAGCACGGCAGATATACACCCACTTTGGAGTTAAAAATGCCCTTATTCACTAGACTGATTGAATAAACTTCAGTTATCAGTGTTTCAGAAATCACAAACTCTATCAGTGTATAATCACTTATGGTATTATTATTATTATTAATTTCTATAGCAGGAATATAGGGCATCTGAAAAGTTACATGGGCATAGTCTTACATATATATATTTGCAACATTCATCGTACGGAAGGCAAGCGATTAGAATCTACGCAATGGAGTGATGCAATTTATACTATAAACCCCTTTTCTCTGTCTTCCACCCAGCACCTAAAAGAAGTTACATGGGCGGGATTTAATGCCGGAGCGGAAGTGCTAGCCCCTACAGGGAAGCGAAAGTTAGCGCGGATACGAGCTTTCATGATTGATTTCGCAAGCCGAGCAAAACAGTCGCGAGGCGTTTAACTTTTTGATAAAAGCTTTTGCTCTTGAAGTGTGCATATTGGATAGTAACTCTTTCTGTTTTGAACTGGATTTCTAAGTAAGTAGGCATAACTCCAGCTGTTTGGTTAGCGTGCGCTTTTGTTTCAAAGCAAATCGGAGTTGGGATTGGTTAATTATAATGCGTGTAAGACTGTACCTTTGTATTGAAAAAGGTACGCTGCCCTAGGATATGTCTGTCGAGAAATATGTCGGATTATCCGGTAGAGGCTGTAAGAAATGGGTCCTTAAGCATATGTATTTTGTTTTTTCCTTGAAATCATTTCGGACGTAAGAGCTAGTCGATGCTTTACTTATCAGAGATGACTTCTGAATAAGCCTCGATAAAAGGAAACAGGGTTTCTCATGTTTGCTTGTTTAGAATGGGTGAGGTTTAGGGAATTACCCAGTTGCTTCACCATGACTTATTTCTTTCATTTGAAGGCAAAAAATAGTAATATAAACTAAAATCCGAAAGCAGGCCTTTGAATTATATTTGAGAATTTGCTACTTAAATCTGTGCTAATGTTTTAAGGGAAATCAATCTTCATGATGTATTCTTAAAATGTGCAGGATAGTCTTCTGAAGTTTTTGTTGTGTATAATTTGACAGAACTCTTCTTGTTTTGTCTTGCTGAAACCTGGATAAGAATTAGTAGGTAAACTATAGCTTTTGTATACCATAATTATAGATGTACTTCCAGAAAATATATGGTACAATCCATGAGATCTCTGGCTGCCTTCATCGAGACACTGAATAGAGCTAGACCAAGTTAGCTTTGAAAGATTATTGCACCATGTACATACACATGGTGCAATAATCTTTCAAAACTAATTTGGTCTAGCTCTACATTAACCTCAGACTTCGTTTTCTAAGGCAAGTATGTCGGTGGCTGTATCACAGCGCTGGCCCATAACTAAGGGAGCCATGATTTACTCAACCTAATTTTGAGGGTTCATACAATGCACTGAACCATAAACTAACCATACAAAGTGGGTTTGTATCATACACTCAGCTAAAATGTGCTGGCTAGTTTATTGCTCTGTGTGACCTGCAGGTACAGCTAAAGCCATCTAGTGAGAATAAAAGGGGAGGAAACAGGGATTATCTGCACAGATTCATTATGCTTGGGAGGGCTGAGTGCCATAAGAAGGATGATTCCCTTCATCACACTTACTGCAGCAGCTCTAGAAGTGATTGGGGGCTGTCTTGAGTGGCAGAAAACAAAATTTCCTTCTAGAAGGCAGATTAGAGCTGATTGTTGTAACTGTGAGTATCTCATAGAGCCTTGCTGATGCTGACTCACTGCCAAGATCTATAATGTTTCCATATGTAGTATCTTAGCTATTCAGGAGTGGAATAAACCCCAGACTTTTCCTTTGGTTCCGCAAGGGAATGGTGAGACTAGCTTTTCCATTTATCAGAACACTTGGCCAACTAGTAGCAAAACAAATCTAGCCTCCCCTTGATTAGCTCCAAATTGGAGCAGAAAAGTAATGACTTGGTTCAAATGTAACATTGTTATATTTATAGTCTATGAACCAAGCTATTATGCTTTGTGTTATACACAAATCATAGCTTATTTAAAAATCATGATTTTAAAAAGTCATTTGCTTAACACAGCATGTCAATTTTTTAACAAGTCTTTTGTCCTTTCAGCTACACAAGTCAGATCTGCAACAAAATGTTGCACGATACCACTCTATCAGTTGTGTCATTTTCTGGACTACTTCATTCCATTTCCCCATGTTCCTAGTTTTCTGGCCCTCTCCTAGCCTCTTCCAATAGGCAGTCAGATTTCCATACCCACTGAGCTTTTTCAGTTCTTAATTAGTTTGGACTTGTTTTATTCAGCCTGCAGAATTTTGCAAGCAATAATTTATTTATTTTGTTCTGTTTGTATGTCGCTAAATCAAAAGAATTCATAGTGGTTTACAGCAATCCAGTTAAGCATACAATTAAAATGTCAGTGGTAAAATTATTAAAATCAAAATTGTAAACAATAAAGAATGAGAATGTAAATAATGTGAAAAATAATTCAAGCAAAATAAAAGACAAAACATTATGCAGAACAGGCATCTTATTGAAGCAGAATGAGATCTCGGATGAGGTTTGGTGTAATACAGCAGTGACCCTAAATAATTATTGAGCTTCTTGACAAATTAGGGATTGTTTGAACATCCCTAAAAAATTAAAGTCTGTAGTATTTATTCAAAGGCCTAATCCGAGACAGTGCACTAATAATTTTTGACAATTTTTGTCTTTTTTACAATGTAAGACAAGATCCATATTGTTACATGCATCTCAGAGAAGGAAAGATAGGAAACAGAATGAATGCTAAAATTTCAGAACTTCTTTACATAAGAAAGGGAAGTTAAAACTTTTCTATTTCATGTTTAAAGGATCAGCAAAACAATACTGATTGCATAACTCAGCATTTCAATGCCACTTATATTTCTGGAAACACTAATCAAGAATCACTTCCTCTTTTCTTCAACCCATAGAAAACTAATACATCAGTAGTTCATGCTCTTCTATCTGTGAGAGGCTTGTCAGATCTTGCTCTTGCTGGATCAAGTCGGTAATATTAATATTTTGGGGAAACTAATTTTAGTATAGCCAATGTACTAAAACAGCATTTTAAAAAAGATCTGTCCAATTAGAGTGTAGTCAGATTAATAGAGAACAAAAACAAGAATGTAAAAAAAAAACTATGCAAACAGCACAGAAATAAGTGATAAGAGAAATTGTTTCTGCCATAATATGTTTCATTGTGTTTGAAAATAATTCTGTTCTAGCTTATATTCTGATCAGAGGTTGACTGCTAAACAAAACAAACAGAACATCTGTTATAATTGGTATCTGTATTGTTTACATGCACTTACTATTTAAGTGAAGTCTGCCAATAGCCAGCAGACTTACCACTTTTGTCTACATCCTTTCAATTAAACTTTTATTCTCACCCACAATCCTGATCACAGATATATTAAATCTATTCCAAATACACAACTCCACTATAGATAAAAGTTTTTCTTCTGCTCTCTAAACAGTCTGCTGTCCATAGCAGCATTGGAGCCTTAATCAATTCCCTGCATTTCATCTGAAGGCTACACAGCCACAATGTTCTATACAGACCAAATTATTCTTCAGGCCATTGATCATGCAGGTGTGATATCTGATATGTGTTATAGTGCTTTCTCCTTTCTCTCTATTGGTTTGGGATATCTTCCCAGATTATGTCAGATGATCAGAGTCCTTATACCATAATCCAACCATGCCACTCACATCAGCAAAGCCTAGTCAAACAGTGCAATTCTGTATTGTCATACCTTTTTCAGCCCGTATCTGGGCAAAGGAATCAGAGATGTGTGTAGTTTTTCTTTTCATGTAGTGGTCCATATCCTGTAAAGTGAAGGAAAATTAGAAGCCTGTTACATTCCATGATATTTCTCTGCATGTAGATTTGCATATCTGCAATAGGATTGGAATGAGTACCAATACAATGATGCTGAAATATCAGCACTTTGACATTTTTGAGTGTCTGAATATCCAAGGAAATTTAAAGAGGAAGAAAGGCATTGCATATAAGATATTTCTAATGAACGTTCTTAAGTAAATATTGTTAATATACTTTATGAGACAAACTTGCTGCTTAATCTACTGTCAAAAGAACCTCTATTACAGGTTGACAGAAGTAGTGATGTAAATGATTCTTTTCCTTATTTATCAGTGTTCTTGTTAAATACTTATATGTTCAGATAATTATGGTAAAGTTTTAAAATGTTCTTACATAAGTTGCCCAAGACATTCTAATTCTAGGTTAACAGAAAATTAGACTTGCTTGTGTCAGTGATTTCAGTTGGTTTAACATTATATTCATAGTAGGATTAGAACTGTGTTAGTCTATGGTAGCAAAAAGTCAGGAGTCATCTGATAGCATCTTTTCCAACTAACACTTTTTATTAAAAGTCATAATCTTTCATGAGCTATAGCTCACTTCATCACATGCCAACTTTACCTCCACATCTACACCACCAACACTGTAACAGGCCCCAATAAATGCACACACAAGATGAGAAGTGCCTTCACATGATCTTCCTCCAATGCAATATATGCACTGAATGAATATGTGTGTATGTATGTATTCAAAAAGAAAGAATTGTGCAAAAGAATGAATGGACACAACTTTGTCATCAGGATTTAAAACAAGGACAAAGTATCAGAACCTTTCAACTGCCCAGGATATTCCAAGGCAGACCCCAAAGTGGAAAAGCAGGACTTTAAATTGATAGGGTACTTGTAATCTGTCTCACATGTAACCTGTATCAGCATAACTAATCTATCTTCTCTTCTCCCCCTCCCCCAGTTTAAATTTTATATCAGTCCAGCCACTCTATGCATCTGATGAAGGGAACTACTCATGAATGCTTATATAGGTGGTCCTCATTTAATGACCACTCATTTAGCAACTGTTCGAACTTGCAACAGCACTGAACAAGTGGAGTTACAACTGGTCTTTGAACCATCACAGTGCCCCCACATGTGATTGTGATCCGGGCACTTGGTAACTGACCTGGATTTCCGGCCAACACAGTGTCCCACAGTCACATGATTGCAAGTTGTGATCTTCCCTGCCAGCTTCCCACAAGCAAAGTCAATGGGGAAGCCGGCAGGAAGTCGGAAGTTGCGATCAGATGAAGTCTTCACTCACGTGAGGTGTTCGCTTAATGACCCGCACAGTCTTTGCTTAACAACAGTAACCAGGAACTGTCAACACTAAGGGGCACAGTCACATGACATCACACTTTACAACCACATTGCTTAGCGATGGAAATTCCAGTTCCAATTACCCTTGTTAAGTGAGGACTACCTTGTTAAGTGAGGAGTATCTTTTAATAAAATCTGTTAGTTGGAAAAGGTGCTACCAGACTCCTCCTGGAGAAACAAGCTACTTGCTTTCCAGTGGTTAAATTGCTTGATGAATGAGAAAATAACCATCAGTGTTACATTTGTTTCTCTTTTCCTTTCTTCATAGATATATTGTAAATAAAAATGAAATCAGTGACTACTTATGGTTTGCTTGTTGAGTGTTTTTGGCTTGCTCTTTTTTGTGGATCTGCTACACCTTTATTGGCTGATAGGTAAGTCACCTGTAAAAAAAAAAAAAAACTATAAAGACAATAGCATTTAATTTTACAAGCATTCCTGAAAATTTTTATCCAGTAACCAAACTAATCCATAACACTTGACTTCCATATAGTTTGCCCATTTGTGGAAATTAGCTCTCCTTTCCCTTTGACTTTTCCTTAAAAGTATTCTGGGGATTCATCAATTCTCCATAATAATTATGAGGCATGGAAGAGGGCATCTTCCTGTTCCACTAATGGAAGTGGTTCTGTTGACAGGAGCGGTGAACTGGTAGCAGTCTTTCTAGCCTGCTATTTCAACTAAGTACTTCTGCATCATGGGTTTGGCCAGCCTTTTCTCTCTCTTAGGGAAAGGTTAAAGTTAGTTGCTATACTCCAGCATCAGGAAGCAAGACTTATTTTCTTGTACCAAGAGACAAAGGAAAAAATAATAAAATTTTAAAAGACCCTGAAGTCAGTAGAACAGTTCACCTTCTATCTGTCTCACCAAGTGAACCAGGGACCTATATCTACAGCAGAGATGGCTGGTCAGATGTTATAGGATTAAACTAATATTATGTTCTTAAGTATGCTAGCTGGAAGTTATAGTTCAGCAATATCTGAAGGCTGTATGTTACCTATTCCTAGTCTTCAAGAGGCCTCAAAGGAGGAAATAATTGCTCTTTGTGGTAAAAACATTTGGCTTTAAAACTAAAGTGTACTCCATGTATATCCATTTTACACTTCTGATACATTGTTCATGGGACCTCTAGTAAGGGGTATTTGCAATTGTATAATGGATTATTGTTGAAGTTACTTAACACTATATAACAATATATAATATAAATATATTTTGTTTAGAAGTGCAGTGTTAATGTCAAGTCAAGAAACTGTCTGGGGTATCACAGAAGATGCCATAATTATTGTTTTATGAACAAGGCTCAGGTAGAATTGAACGATGTGTTTATTGAGTTGTGTTATGTTTTTGTCCATCATAAAATGAAGTACTTCAGGATTTTCTCAATATGAATATGACAATAAATGCTTGTGACATGGTCTAGCAAAGTTAGTCTGTGATCACACAACATGCTAACCCACAGTGTAGTTTGCTTAATCTCAGATTTATTAATAAAGTACAGTAGGATAATTCATACAACATGAAAACAGTTAAACATGGTTTATAAGCCACTGTGGAGTATCCATAGTATCCAGCTGTTATTTCATATCTGCCTAGCAGGTTTTCAGGGGTGGGGCTACTGTGTGAAAGAAGTTTTGGGTTTTAGTTGGAGATGTGTGTTTAAGTTGCCTGGTGATGAAGCGGGGAGGGGATTTTCCATGGAAGTAAAGTTTGTCTGCATTTCTTCTGAGCACAATTAGCTTCCTATCTGTAGAATTAGTATTTTATAGTGCTTTATGTGCTGTGGCTTTTAAAAGTCATAGCCCCACTGTCGTCTTGTGCTCAGAAATGAATTGGGCATTGAAATAATACTATTACCAGAAAGAGTTTAGGAGTTTGGAGAAAAAAATTGTTTGGTTTCTCTATTTTATGATGTTGCATCTCAGAGGTTTGGGCAGGTTACAGAAGCAAACCGTGAACAGAGTAAATCAGTATTCTGGGTTCAGGCAAAAGCCATGATTAAAATAAGTATTTGTAAACCAAGTTGAAATATGACTTTAATTCACAGTTAGGCAAAAAAAAAAAAATCCTGATTCAATATTATATGTGAACCACACCAAGAAAAATGCAGGGACAGTTTGCTACTAATGAAGGGTTATGATGCCTTTGGAATATTAAGGATTTTTTAAATTTTTATGTTTCAGTGATCATCATAAGTGGGACAAATTATACTTAGTTCATCATTGGCCAGTGACTGTATGCATGGTAAGATCTTCTTAAATGGAGTTAGTTATTTTGCTATCTGTATGCGTATACCTGTACTGAAGTATTTGTTTTGCTGAATCCTGAAAGGGGATAAACAGTTTCAAAAGAGATGGAAAGTACTGAGTTATGTTAATCATTTGGCCACTGCATATGGGTGAGAAGATCCATGTTTAAATATGAGAAATTGTGCTGAATTTTCAAATAATTAAAAACCAGACTATGTATAGAAGGTAATGTTTAAGATAATTCTTTTTAATATATTTATTAAAACTAGATGCCACTTTTTCTCAACCTCAGGGTGATATGTACACCTTTAAACAATTCCCTGCTAATTATTCCAGAAGACTAATGTTTTGTGGGTTGGTAGTTAGCTCCGAAGTTGTTTTGGTAAATACTGTTAGCTTCAAAAATGGTGAAAGCAATTGTGCAACTGGATTTCCTGCTCAGATAATCTACAAGAAAGACAGACTGTCAGGATATCCTCTGATGGTGGGAAAAATATGTCTTGCATTGGTTCATACTATATTCCTTTTAGATTTGAGAAGCAAAATCTTAAATACTTCAGCACAAACAATGTTATTCCATATTATAAGCTACTCTTGTTTTATGTTTGCAGAATTAGCAGGGTAGGGTCAGTATGCTTTTCAATTGTACTAGAGTTTTCCTATCATTGACTTACACAAATTCAAATAAAATTATCCATTTATGAGTGAAATAATCTAAAAGGAGGAGAGTCTCAGAATATCCTCTTCTAAAGCTGGAGAAAATGTGTCATGTTTCCATTCTTTATTTCAATTGTTTCAGACCTAAGAAAAAGCAATGTCCTAATACTACAGCACAAACAATATTAAATTTTTATCACTATACTCTTATAGTATTATGTCTATAGGAAGGGATCACATAATGTTATTAATAATAGCCACACTAATGTTTTTATAGTGCCCATATCAGATTCTTGGGTGGTGTACAAATCATAAAAACAAACAATAAATAGATAATAAAACCTATCTCCAACTCAGAGCAAAATAAATCCCCTAAAAACATATAAGGCAAGAAAGAGCAGCCCAGTCACTATTAATCCAAAGCCCATCCAGATAAAATGGTTTTTACAGTCTTGCAGAATGTCAGTAATCAGGGTGCCAGGTGCACCTTTGGGGATAAGGTATTTCAGAGCATCAGGGCTACCATAGAAAATGCCTGCCTTGTGGCCCACAACCCCCTCACTCTTAAGATTAGGTGGGACCATTAGCAGGCCCTCTCTAGATGACATGTGTTTTTGAGATAATATTAAGTGTTTTGTATTGGCTCTAGAAACCTATCAGTAGTGCAGCAACCAAATAGGTGTTACACTGAAGTAGTCTCACCTCCAACAGCACAGCTGTCATGTTCTGTATCAGTTGTAGCTTCTAAGTAATCTTCAAAGTAGAGTATGTCACAGACTTGCTCCTTAAGGAGACCTTATTTAAAATGATCACTGGAACCCACCTATCTGGACTACCCAGATATTTACAGATGAATAGCATCTCCATCTTTCTGGATATTAATCTTTTTTCACCCTATCCAGTCCTTCATAGCCTCTAGACACAGGAACAGGACCTCAACAGCATCACCAGAATACTGATGGTACTTCATCCCAAACCAACAAATGACAGATGTTAAATAGCACTGAGAAGAGAGGCAAGGCCTGGAGTACTCTACATTGAAGCAACCACATTATTTCATGCTTGATCATTCCTCCCTCACAACTTAGAAGTGAAACCAACCCCTCAGTTAAAAGTGGAACCGGCATGAAACTGTGCACCTGCCCCTTGCAGACAGACCAGAAGAATACAGCAGTGAGTGGATGGTATTGAACACTGCTGAAAGGTCTAAATGGACCTGGAGGGGTAGACTGCCTGCATTCAGTTCTAAAGAAAGGTCATCCGCTAGAGGTATCAATGCTATTTACCTGCAGGAGCACTCTGGTCAACCCTTATAGCAGAGACCAGTCAGGCACAAGATAAAGATGCCCAATATCTTTAGTTTGGAAATACAATTTGCAAGAACTGTATAGCATAAGAAGAGTAGAAAGGAAGGTTCACTGCAGTCACCATGATACTTCTAGCATGTGGGTGACAGGGTAGTAGGGCTGTGCATATGTATGTGGATCATTATCAGAGTTCCCCCCTCCTCCACCAGTTCTTTTAAAATATATTCCTTTCAAAACCATTAGCAGAAAAAATACCTAGCTAAAGAGACGCTGCTACAGGAGAATAGAAAGCTTTGCTCCAGCAATTAAAAAGCTGCTTCCATTCCCAAAATTTCCTGCAAGATTTCACTTTGTAGAACAGTCCATGTTTATCATGCTCCCCACCCCCCAGTGTAACAGCATAGTGTAGAGACTTTTTTGCCCCATTTTAAACCTTTTGGGACAGCTGTCAAAGGGAATTAGGTCTGTTCTTCCCACTCTAATAATTTACTTTTAAAAACCCAACAACTGTCATAAGTAGTTGAGTCTATGGAGAATTATATTAGAGTCATAGGAATGTATTCTAACCAAGCATTGCTTAAATGAGCTTCAGGGAAGATACATTAGAAGTATTCACAACTAAAATGCATCTTTTATTTTTCCTTCCATAAAGAGGAAAATGTTTGAGTGGAGTATATATTTTTATTTAAAATGTTTATTGTATTTAAAATATTTATTTATGTACTTTCACTTCTGTCCTGAAGCAAGAATATTCCCATGTATAAGTGGCATGACAGTGACTCAGCTGTCCTTTTAGTGCTACATGTGAAAGCAGATTGTTCACAGCTATAACCAAAGCAAAACTAACAGCAAATCCATACAACTCCTCTGCTATACTCCCATCCCAGACCCAGCAGGAAATCATCCACCCTAAATCTTGCTAACCCCAAGCACATCCTTACTGCAAACCCAGAAAGGTCCATGCTGCACTGCTGTCCATACATAATACACACATTTTAGAGGCCATGATTTATCGTTCCCTTGGCTGAAATTCCAGCTCTGCCAAACATCATCTACTGTATGAAAAGCCTCCTCCAGTTAGTACATGAGAGCCAGTTTAGTGCAGTGGTTAAGGCACCTGGCTAGAAACTGGGAGACTGTGAGTCCTAGTCCTGCCTTAGATACAAATCCAGCTGGGTGACCCTGGGACAGTCAGTCACTCTCAGCCCTAGGAAGAAGGCCATGGCAAACAACTTCTGAAATCTTGCCAAGAAAACTGTAGGGACTAGTCCAGGCAGTTGCCAGGAGTCAACACTGACTTGAAGGTGCACGTGCACATGCATGCACACATACACACAGTTAGTACACACAACATGATGGTTCTGTGTAATGCATTTTTTTTTCTTTTTCATTGCTGATACAATGTTGACCAACTGAACTCTTTTTATTCTTTATAACTATGGGTAAACCAGTTGACTGTTTGACCTGCGGACCACTAAGGGACAGCAAATAATTAAGTTTTTGTATCTCTTGACTGCCATCTAGTGGTTGTCTGGATTTCCACTGGGTAGGTAATTTTCATACTACCAGGTTACAGAAGCACAACAGCTGAGTCCTTTTGATTTTACTTTCAATTACATGTGTGAAGCCCAGGACAGACTAGTCAGTTTCAGGACTTTATAACCCCTTAAGTTCACCATTCAACTAACCCATTTAGGAAAAGGAAAAAAGGGGCTGCAGAAGCTGGAACTCCAGTCTCTCTTGCAGCTAAACCAGTACTGCAGAACAGGTACTGAGCCCAGCCATTAGGTGGAAGGAAGTGATCCTACAACAGATCTACCAGATAAATTCGGGCTGAGCAGACTGCTGCTATTTACTGCCACCTCCATGGGTTATCTGGATGGAAGTTTTTGAGCTGGGACTCAAGACTTAAACCAGCTTTTGGCTGCCTCAGTTGTGTGGTTGACAAGATATGGGTTCTGCCCTGAAGATATATCCGCTGGAAATAGTGGGGCATTTTGAGGAAACTGTGTGGGTGTGGCCTAAATGTTTTTATTCAGTGAATAAATCTATTGTCTATGCATGGAGGCCCTTCATTCCTTGCTTGTGACATAAGCAGTCTAACCAGGTTCAAGTTACCTCTTTCCTAGGAAAGTCTAGTTTTCAGGCTTAAACAAACCCAAGTATAAACTGGTTTGATATCCTAGAGTGAAACAAAGCTCCTATCCATTTTGGGTGAAATAGAAAACAAGGGCTGTTAGAATCTTCTTGATTTGTTTCCATCAGAAAAGGAGAAGCGCATAGAGAGAAAATCCTGACAGATTAATAAATTAAGATCCAGTCATCTAATGCCTCTTTTTCTCTCACTGTAAGATTTGCAAGTAATTTAAAAAATAGAAGTGAATTTCAGATGAGCAGAAAATACTAGGTACAGTTTGGGGAATGCAAATATTAAGAGCTGAAATAATTATTGATGTTCTACAACAGCAAAGTATTTCTATAGGGAATTTGCCAGAATCTTCATTATAAAGATACCATATACCAACTAGCATACTAGAGTAGAATCTTCATATTCTCCAAATGTTTTGGAACAGAACTCCTGCTGTACTTTGACATTTGCCCCGCTGTATTGTTTGGAGCTGATAGGCATTGATGTCCACAACACCTACAAAGTACCATGTGGCAATATTGCTTGCTTTTGGAAAAGTCAAGCTGATATCTCCATTCACTGGCTATTGTGAGCAAATCTCTTCCATTATGCTTTTTGTGAAGCTAAATGCCATTGCTTCATAGCTGCTTCTCTGAATTGTACTGATGATCAGAGATACTTGGAAACAGCATGAAGAATTTCTGCTTTTAAGTGTCTCTGACACCATAGTCAAGGACTGAGCTTTGGAAGCTCTTGAAAGCAGTGAATTTTTCCACTTGTTTCTACTGCAAAATTGGCAGAGTTCCTGCTCATCTCTTGCCAAGATAAATGTAACACTTGCTGTTGGCTGTAAATGGATTTGAGTTTGTTTCTAATTAACAGTATTCTGCTACTTCGATGAAAGTTTGGTGAATATAAAAAATGGCAAGCATTTCATATTTAAGGTAGCCTGACAGAATGCTTTGGAAAAAACAGTTGTGATAGAATTACAATTATTTACACTTTCTTTTTGTTATATGAAAAATTGCCTGCCAAAGGGTTTTGTTAAGCAATTAATACTTTTTATAGAAATCTACAGTTCTAACATGGGAGTTTTGCCTTCTCTAAAGTCAAGTAACAAAACTGTTTACTTTTAAGCCATAGCTTTTATTTTAATATTGCCATATTCTGAATGACAAATCCTAATGTAAGAATAGGATTTTGGTGGGCAGGTGTGCACTTAATGTTTTGAAAGGATAAGGGGTGCAGTGGGTGGAGGGATGGAGGTGATGATGCTAAGAAAGTGGAACCCCATCCTGTAGTGGAGGAGGTTGGGATTTTCTGTTTGGGGAGGGTTTTAAAAATGACATTATAGTTTTTATGTACTTTTTGGTTTAGAGGGGATTCTAGTCCCCTCCCCACCACCACCGCCAAAATGGTTTGAGCCTATATGTCTGGATTTCAGTTAATTTGTTTTACGTGATGTTCTCTCACTAAGTTAGCTACAGCCATTTTCTAAATAGAAAAAAACCTTTATGTTCAGTAAAGAACATTTTTTGAACTAACCTATTAATTTAATAGAAAAAAAAGCAAACGATTTCAAAGCATTTATTTATTTACTGTATCTGTATGTGCCCATTGCTAAAGGCTCTGGGTGGCTAGTAGTCAGCATTAGCATAAAATAAAAATCAGCCATCTCAAAACTAACAATTACCTTCCCAATAATATAAACAAAATTGACAACTTCAAAATAATGAGAAAATATTCAAAGACATGCACCTGCCAAATTCCAACCTTCACTCAGAACAAATATGGCAAGAGTGGTTAACTTTCATTTGGTCATAGATATCATCTTATACAGGATACTGAACATTACACTGAAAGTAGATGAGGTCAGAAAAAGTTTATGAGGCTAAAAGGGGAATGAGTGAAATAAGATGGTGTGCAAACTCATTTTTAATATAATGAATAAGTAAAATATTCCCCTTCTCCTAGTGATAAGCCAGATGCTTCTAAAAGGTATAGAAGAATGGAATGAAAACCTTGGCAAATAGGGATCATGTCACAATTACCCAATGTTGTTTTCTTAAAGCCAGAGATATGTAGCTGGTTTCAAACACCAATGGCTTATTAACCCTTTTTGTCATTAAGTGGAGCAGTTAATATGATAAAGCATTAATTCAAAAGGTAAATATTTAAGATAAATTATTCATTAGTAAATTTTAACATTCAGATTATTTTGATTTTTTTATCAACTATTTTTCTAATCCTGAGTACTCTAAACTATTTTCAAACATTTTGCCAGTGTTTTGGTTTTTATGAAAGTGAGACCAACCTTGTGGGGTTTCTGGTAACCGTACTTCTTGATGAAACAAAGCATGCTAATAGTATCTCCATATAATTTTTCTGGGTTGGGATTATAGCATAGCAGACTGCAGGTGGAGGATTAAACACTTGAACACTGTAATATAAGCTCAATAAACTCAGTGTAACATTCCAGAAAGAATGGGAGCTGGAGGAATTGCATCAAGTTGCTAATCATATTGTTGATTCTTTCCCGCAGTTACAATATGGCCCATGAATAATTGCAAATGGGATGAGCACTGTTTATCAGCTCCAGCTGTTAGGCCATTTGCATTCATTTATGGGAAGGAATTATCTAAAAATGGTGGTGCATATGCTTATAACTTCTAAGTTCAATTTATGCAAGTGGGGATACTTTTATAGATAATTCACGAGGATTGTATAGAACTTGTCAGATTATTCACCAAGATAGCCCAAAGAAACATCAGACTTTATTCGGTTGGCTGCCAGTTTGTTTCAGGACAAAATAATAAATATTTATCCACAAAGCCCTGCACAGCCTAAGTCCAAGTTATCTAAGAAAGAGGTACGGAATGTAATATCTGTCAGAATTTTCCTTGGTGACCACCACATTCACTGCCTCACTGAAGTTTATTAAGAATCTTTTAATTTAATAAGGGAAACACTGGTGTGTTCCAAAATGAAGCATTATTCTTCCGCATAATTTTATGTACTTGAGCACTGTTGAACTACATCAAGGCTCTGTAGGCATTATTATAAATAAAAATTTAGCTATCATGGTGAACAAGATCATTCCAGGAGGAAACTGTTCCCTGCAGATCATTCCCTCCATCAGGAATCTCTCTACTAGCTTAGCTTACTTTCTGTTTTTTCTTCTGGCCAAACTGGCACCATTTTGGAATCCTCAGTTTGGAGTGATCTTGCCCATCACAATATTTATTTTGTGAATAGGAAGCCCTGCTATAGCAGATATTGTGAGAATCTCTATCAGCCCAGCTGGATGTTGATCACTTCTGCTTTTTTCTTTTGAAACACACACATTCCAGAGTTGTACAAAATTTTGATTACAAGTTCTGATTCAGAACAGATTGATTGAATTGATGCTGAATCATTAAATCAGATGCCTCAATCAAATTTGAAATAAATTGAAACAATCAGAATAATTTGAATCACAGCTGAATCACCCCCTTATTTTTCCATTATGCATAAAAATTGGTTTTCTTTAATAATCCAATAGACTTATTTTCTCTAGATGAATGACAATGAATGCAAAGATCCACCAATGTACTGGACAATCCATGGACTCTGGTAAGATATAAATTTTGGGGGGAAAAAATCTATTGTTAATTTTAAGGGTTTGGCCTAGTGGATATATACATGTTCTTTCAAAGTCCACGGTATCTTATATTTGAAATATCCTGGTCTGATGCCCATAGAAGAAGAAAGTCTTTATTATATTAGACAAATGATCCCCTATGGTAGTCCTTGCATCAGAATACTTCTATGAAAATAAGAGGATTTCTAGGTGTATGGCAACTAAGATATTTTCATCTATTCACATAATATATGTCAGTTAAAATACATTGTATCAATGGCCGGGGGTGTGTGTGGTGCAGTGCAAATGCAGCAATGCCGGGGAATTGCGAGTGCTGCAAGACCTTGGGGGTGTAGCATGAGTGCAGCAAGGTGAGGACTACCTCTATATATACACTGTATTGAAGAGAATGTAGTTTTCTCCTTATTATGAATAGAAATAGCTTGGAGGTAACCTCTCCTCCAAAGATTTGCCTGGGGTCGCTAATTGTAATACAGGGAGTCCTCACTTAATGACTGTTCATTTAACAACAGTTCGAAGTTATGACAGCTTTGGAAAAAGTGCTTTATGACCTGTACTCACACTTACAACTGTTCCAAACTGTCACACCACTCCCCTGCAATCACATGATCGTGATTTACAACCTTTTTATGATCGTCATTAAGCAAATCACCATGGTCCTTAAACAAATCACATGGTCATTAAATGAATCACATGGTGGTTAAATTAAATTCCAGCAAAAACATCCATTGGGGAAGCTGGATTTGCTTAACAACCACATGATTCGCTTAATGACTGTCATAAAAATGGTTTTAAAATTGGATCTGGTCACATGGTGACTGGTGACTTGCTTAACAACTGCCCCGCTTAACGACCAATTTTCTGGTCCCTGTTGTGGTTAAGTGAGAACTACCTGTATATCAGAACCACCTTCTGAAGGATTAGTTTTACTTCTAAATTTCTTTTTAAAATTGTTTTCTGTGAATTGAACAGCTCTGTCATTTGTTATTACCAATGCTGACTACAGTATTTAAATTTTAATATTTTTAAAATATTTTTTTATCTTTATTAATAAAGTTTGATTTTTTTAATCTTTAGTGGGATTCCTCCCCAAGAAAGGGAGGAAGTTCTGGAACTTCTAATCACACACTTCTATGCTAAATTGAGATTACATTATAGAACTTTTTTTTTCATTTTTCCCTTTTTTTTAACCTTTATATACCCAGTAAGGCAGTATAGATTACCTAAACCTAACCCTCCTCAAGACCCCCCTGTGATGTCTCCCAATTTACAAGATACATGCTAGAGAAGGAGAATACATCCCACTACTATTCGGCACAATTGGTTTTCATTGTCTGCACTCTTTTCTTCTGCTTCTTCCACAGGCCTGATAAAGCTGAAGAATGTAATAGAAGTTGGCACTTCAACGTATCTGAGCTTAAGGTATGAATTAAAAAAATGTAGGTACTGAGTACTTGAAAAAACTCTAATTGTGATTAATTCAAGAATTTGACTCGACTCAGGGATGCTTTAGGGTATTCTGTCAAAGCAGTATTATTTATTAATATAGCTCTATCAGTAGAAAAGTTTAAGCTCAGTATTACCAAACCAGGCTTTAGAGAAGGAGGATGATAGGTTTCATCCTTGAGTCCCTTTCTAAAGGACTTAGAGTTGCCCATACATCCTAATACTATCATAATCACAGCTTATCAAGAGCTGTTATTTGAGGTGTTTTATAGGCAGTGAGAAAATCTGGGAGGAGTTAGCACTGTATCCTTGCTTTTTAATTTTACAGGATTTTTTTTTATATTGTTAGGATTTCATGGAAGACATGAGAGAATATTGGCCAGATATACTTCATACAAACCATACCCATTTCTGGTGAGTTGTGTCACATTTAACCATATTGATAGTTTTACAAAAATGCTTACTTTCAGTTGTCTTTCCAAATGAAAAACCCTAGGTAACAGCAGAAGGCAGATACGCAGATAATATAAAGTATGGATTCTGTCAATTATTTTGCTTCTGCATTAATGCTTTCTTAAATAAAATACTGTATTTAGGCATGCAGCATAGATGGCATTTTGTGTCTCTCAGAGGAATTCAAGACTAGATTTCAGTTTTAATGTTTTCAGTCAATGTCATCTTTAGAATGTTCAATGAAAAGTTTTTGGCTTAGTAATTATTTCTTGTTACATTATCTTGTAAAGCATCCAATGTATTGATTATTAAAAGAAATCCATTAAGCTTGTAATGTGTGATAGGGCTGTGAGTACTTTGGCTTCAATTCCAAAAAGCTACTTTGGACCATGCAGAATACTATCTTGGCATATTAAAACAACTGTATCTTTACCTAGGAGTGTAAGCTGCCCTCTGCAACTACTGCACAATTCCAGAAAAAGATACCGCTGTTTTCAAATGTTTCAGAGACAGGTACTGTGCTCATATTCCTGTATTCTTCAAAGCACCTTTTTGGAATCAAATCTGAAGCATTTCATAGCTCTAACATATAATAATATCCATTGATTCCCTGTAAAGAAAGTAAAAGCTTCCTCAAATCAAGCTTGACTTTAGGAGACTACATAACACACCCATGTAGGATATCTCTCATAACTACAGTTCTGACTGTACATTTTTGTGCTTATTTTTAAAACATTAACAAATATATTGTACTAATAGTTGCAATTTTTTAAGCAGTTGAGGATCTTCAGTTAAGAAATAACTTGACTGCATCACATTCAGATCCTTAACCCCACTTGCTACATTGTTTTGACTGCCTTTGGTTTTTCTGTTTAAAATAGAAGTATTACAAAGGCCCAAACTAGACATTAAAGGAATATGATGCTGTTACTAACCTATATCTCTGTGCTAATGTTGAAAATGAAACATCACTGTGCTCAAAGCAGGGCTGTGTAATGCTTTGGAGCTTGCAGGTACATATATAGAGCACTAGTATGTAACTCTTGAAAGCAGCCACTTTTCCCAGAATCAGAGTCACTACAGAAGGCATTCATGCAATCCCTGGAGCATGTGCTTTGTAGCACACATTAGTGTAAATCTAACAACTATCCCCAACTTACTGAAGCTACTTTAAGCACTGTCGACGGGTACTGCATTCATACTCCTGTAAGCTGCAAAGCACATTTTCCAAATTATTTCTGAAGCACTACACAGCTCTAACGTGAAATAACAATTAAGCTAAGAATTCTTGAGAAATGGCTACTTATTCATTATCTTGATTTATATAGCTGCATATCTTGCAATTGCAATTAAGTAACTAAATATTATTTGTTTATGAAACATGCACACTACCTCAGTTGGGTAGTGTTTGGGTTGGACTCTAGGCAGTTTACAAGTAACTTGAGTTTTTGTTGTAGCAGTGTGACCCATATGCAGTCCAAATGTGATTCCATATTGGGAACATAATGCAGAAACCATGATATTATAAAGCAGAAATACATGAGCACAGTATAAAAATGATGAAGGAAAAATTAAGAATGTAATTGTAAGATGCTATAGGTTTCACTTAAGTCTTTGACTCATGAATATATCCTACCTGAAAAAAAAATGAAATGATTTAAGAGTTGAACATGTAAACTGTTTTGTCTTCTGTTCTCTACCAGAACTGCCTCTATTTTTCTGATTTGTAACCTTGATGGGAAATAAAGTCTGTGCAAAGTTTCAGTACTGACAGTGCTTAGTGAAGAAGAGTATTCAGCAATTAACCTTTGTTATACTGTTATTCAATAAAGTTGGTAACATCGTCCTTGATATGCAACAAAGTGAATATTTCTTATGTAGAAGGACAAGATGATTTTCTTTTCATTTGACAAATAAAAACAAAGATAGCTTTTCTTTACACTTTGTGGTTTCCATAGTTTCCAGTTTCACATGAAGCATGACTGCAGCATGTCTTCTCTCAAGTGCTAAGTTTTCTTGCTTCTGAAAAACAATCTAAAAGACTCCAAACTATTGCAGGTGTCTTAACCATCACATTTTCACTTCTCTTGTCATTTAATTTAAATTACTTGTCAAAAGAAATTCTTTTCTCAGCAGAAGAGAGACCTTACACCCAAGAGACTTTTTATATATAAATACTTTATATATACTAAGGAGATAATATGTATTTTGTATACAAATGTTGTACACGGTATGTATTAGGGTGTCCCTGAGGAATTAAAACATGTCTTTAGAAATGTTTCTTTGTTTTTAATTCCTTAAGATATTTTGCATGTTAAATTAAATCTGGCATTTAATTTTTGTTCAAATATTGCTATATACCTATATTTTAGCTGTTTTATGTCTTCTTTAGTTTTGTGCACAGCCCAGAGTCCACTGGAGTTGGATAGCCAATAAATTTAAATAAATAAATAATCTATAGAAGATGTTATAGCTGCAAAATACTGCATTATCATATGGAAATGTGAGGATATTCTTTCTGTTTTATCTAATGATATTTCTTAGAAAAAACAGTTACTAAAGTTGGCTTTATGCCTGAAGTTTCTAGATTTTCTATGCAGTGGGGGAAGTGGTAGAATCTTTACTGGACTCACAACTGAGATTTTCTTCTCAAATAAATATTAGACATTACAGAATTTTTGTGTAGCTGTCTGAATACATTGGTGCTTGAAGATACTAGTTAATTTTTGTTGTTTCTTTACATAGGAGACATGAATGGGAAAAACATGGGACATGCGCAGCTGAATTAGAAGCTCTTAACTCACAAAAAAAGTACTTTCAGAAGACATTGGAATTCTATAGAAAAATTAACCTTAACAGGTGGGAAAACTGATTTTCTCAGAGGCTTCTACAACACGTAAGGCTCTCTGATAGCAAATATACAGTATTTCATTGACTGTGATCTAACAGACCCTGGGAACATGGTGGAGGGAGCACAGTTGTTACATGAGGAAGCAAGGCTGTTACAAAAAAGATTCCTGAGTCTGGGAGGGGGAGGGGAAAACACGAGAAAGAGACTCAGAGGCTATGCATAAGTTGAGATAGAGAATTGCTTTGGCAGCTTTTCCAGATTCTGTTGTCCTATCTTACTAGAATTAAAGATAGTTACAGAAATCCAAGTGGTTCTTATTTCTTGAGTTTGCCTGCTATGGAAGGCTTGACATTGACAGACATAATGCTTCCATAAAGATTAGAAATTCAAAAATGGTTGTTTGGGGGGAGTTGCGATTGCATAACAAAAACGTTATAGCAGCATAACATTAAGACGGTACTTCGTCTTGAATTCATCTGTGTCGCTGGACTGCATTGTTGAGATCTCTCATGACTCTCAGTATTGTATGCACAAATATGCACAATTCTTCTAATGCCAGCATTTTATTAAACTAGATAAGATAATATATATTGTTATATATTATTAATATATAATGTTATCTAATATCATTATAATAAAGAGAGCCAGGAGACTGTAAGTTCTAGTCCTGCCTTAGGCATGAAGGCCAGCTGGGTGACTTTGGGCCAGTCACTCTCTCAGCCCAACTCGCCTCACAGGGTTGTTGTTGTGGGGAAAATAGGAAAGAGTATTAAGTATGTTTGCTGCTTTGACTTATTTATTAAAAAATAATAAAGGCAGGATAAAAAAATATATTAAAAACTGTTGTCTACAAACCTATCTGCCATTATACATTTTCCTAATGAAGAATCAGTAAAAGAGCTTTCAGAGGTTCCCTGAAAGATAGATCAGTAATTTTCAATCTCCCTTTAGAAAATTGATAAAATAGTGGATATCATATAATTTTTGTGTGTGTACAATGTATAAATAGCCCTAAAATTAGTAGATTACTTTGTGAACATTATAAGCCTTCACTTATTCTATGGATTATCAATCTAACATTACTACCCCCAATGGTCCAGTTATGTACAGTAGGCATTATAACAACTTTAAGAGGAAATGTAATACAGTGTTAGATATACTATGTACCTGAAGCACATTAAGCTTCTTAAAGTTTTATGTGTCTTTTTTATCTAACCTTTTATATGTGGGAGAATAATGATAAATGACTTCTCTTTCAGTTTTCTCTTGAAAGTTGGGATAAAGCCAGGCCCTACTTACTATCAGGTAAGAGAAAAGTTCCCTCTGCATTGCATTCTGCAAAACTGTAGCCTTTACTTCTTGTTGTATAATACACAGTGGTGAGTAGAATCTAATTAAGTCCTTCCACTGAAGAAGTAATTCCATTAGCAGAACAAACATATCTAATCAAGATTCATTTCAGAGTACTAAAGGGCTCTCCAAAGCAGGTTTTGGGAGGAAGGATGAAAGGAGAAAATTTTATTACACATGCAGACTTTCATTTCTTATAACTTGTGGGTTACTATTTTTCTTATTTTCATACAGAGTTTTCATAATTCAAGACCATGAAAACACATCTTTAATTAAACGGATGCTTGATCCTTTTTAACTATTTCATGTTTAAATCTTCAGCTGGCAGCCATCAAAGAAGCTCTTGAAAGTGTTTACAATATAACACCAAAGATTCAGTGTCTTCCTCCTGAGGAGGTACATCTTTCTCTTAGTGATTTCCTAGTTAACCTTCAATATCTCCTTTCTAAAAAGATTGTTTTTAATATTTGGAAGATTGATGATTAAATACATCTAGTTATTTAACCATTCTTCCAAATATGTATCCAATACAGACTCATCAGTCTGTCCTCAATAATGATGAAAATCTCTCTCTCCCCCTCTCCCTTTCCCCCCATTACTCATCTGTCCAGATTTAGGCTTTAAATGGGAGGTAAAAGTGAAAGAAAGTTAAGATTGCACGTAGCTAGTTCTCATATGGTTTAGGTTTATGGAAACAAATGGATGAAACCTTTCCTTTTCAAATTGGACCTTTGTATAGTCATATAACTGATATTGCAGATCAGTTGGTTTAAAAAACCTTTGGATGATCCATAAAGTATGAACTGTTGTTCTGAGAGCTTGTTTGGACTTCACCCATTGACATTTTGGCTACTTTGTTTGCCTGTTTCACTGGTAAGGTGGCCAGCCAGTGCCATCTGAAAAACTGGCTTTGGCATTTCTCAGTCGTGGTATATCTGATGAAGGGGCACTGCTTTAGAAAACATTTTCAGACTTCAGCTGGGTAGAAGGTGCAGCACTGCTTTCTGGATCTGTTGGCTGATACTATTAAAAGTGTATGGTTTTTAAAACATAACCAAGGAACAGTTTCCTACTGGATACTTTTAATTCCATTTATCAGCAATAAAATATAATCTTTTATAGCATTAAAGAAATAGATTGGTTTCTTTAATATTTTTCCTTCTCTAAACTCTCAAATAACACAGAACTTAAGACTTAAATAGTTAAGAAATCAATATACATTTTCAAGTACAGCTTGTTTCTGTAAAAGGTTGCTGACTTCAAATTGTGCCCATATTTTTTTTTTCTACTGTTGGGAGCAGAGTTTTGATCAAAACATGGAGTTTACTGCTGTATTACAATATGGACTTAATTTATCTCTTGGCCATCTAGTTTTTATTCTGATAAAAATCTTGCTCAGTATTATTCCAGGTACTGGATATTAATTTTATTGTGTTGTTTGGTAATTATACATGCAATATATCTGCCTCAAGCTAGATTAAACTGTTAGATTCTGCAAATTATCTCTCTTAAATTCATTGTGCTGAACTGTCAACAACTAAGACATTAATAATATCTTTATAAACTTTCTTATACTACTTTTTCTACAGTATTGTTTTATTTTCCTTCCCCAGGGACGGCTACAAGTAATGGGTCAGATTAAATTCTGTCTTACCAAGGAGTTTACTCTGAGAAATTGTACAGAGCCACAATCTGATTTATCTTCTGCACATGAAGACAACTCAACAGAAGATCTGTCAATTTGCAATGATACTCTGACTTACTACCCTTCACATATGCATACTTAGAAATATTTTGTTGCAAATGTTGTTGAACTTTTTAAAGTTCTAGTGGGGAACAATTATGTACTGGATTTAGACAGCAAAGCCATCTCTGAAAGCTAATATTAAGTGCTTTCTTTTTTATTTTGATTAGTGACTGCTTGTTTCAGTAAAATTGCTGTCCATATATAATTTACTTTTTCTTCAATAAAATTGGTTCATTTTCCTTTTTCCCATGTTTATTGGGTGTTATTTTCAAATAAACATCAGTTATAAAATTACTACAATCTGTTTGATCTGCAGTGTTTGTGGCAAATTTATCTGCCTGCTTAAAATAACTGGCATATATTTGCATCAAATACAAGATTGTAGCAGTTCATCAAGAAAAAGTCAAAGGACTGGAGCAGTAAATAGCCATACTTAGGCTAATGTGAAAGGACAAGAATTTAGCAGCTCAGAAACAAGACACTCTTTACCAGAAACTGACAGTGGAAGCAATTCTCTGTAAGGAAGGCAGTAAAACAGAGTGGATGAGAGCAACAAGCAGAAGCAAGAAGTGTATTTTGTTATAATTATCATGTGTGGTATGTATTATGGTCTGTTTTTTGTTATTTGTACTATTTCTGTGGCTGGTTGTAATCCTAACGTGTAAGCCACCCAGAATTACCTTGGCATACAATTGAGGTGGCAGATAGGCAAGATGCTCTGCGCTTTTGGAACTCAGAAACAATTTGGGAGGTCGGGAAGGAAAAGAGAAACTACAGAATGAGAGATAGGACAGTAGGTTCCAAAGAGGCAGAGAGGATGCAAGCGTGTGCTATAAGAAGATAAGGAGAAGACTTATGCTAGTTGGTGGCTTGTTACAATGAGAAGCTGAAACATACTGATTGGACCCAGTGGGCAATTTAAGTTTGCTGACTGCAAGACTTAAAGATCAGAGATAATGACAGAACAACTTCCAAGACTTAAGTCAACTGACAGTGATTCCTTCTAATACATGTGTGACAGATTATGCTGCAAAGAACTAGAACCACGCTAGCATGGACTTTGAAAATCTTGGCAGGACGTCAAGGCTCTAGTGGCTCAGGTGGTATTCTCGTACATCCTTCCAGTCTTTGGAAAAGGGCCAGAAAGGGAAAGAATACTATTAAGTGAATGATTAGCTGTTCAAAAGCAGTTGACAGAAGGGATTTGGTTTCTGAAACCATGTTCAATTGTGGATTTCTAGCATGAGAAGGATTGCTTCTCACAAAGACTGGTAAAAATGTTTTGGCCGAAGTATAGCAAACTTCATTGGGAGGGCTTAAATGGAATCTTTTGGAGCTTGGAAAGGAAAGTCCTGAAGAAAGGACTTAAGATAAAGACTTGTGCACTATAGAAGATGAAGTATTACTGAAATGAAACTTCTTTTAACTATTTGGTGGATAATTGGAAAGACTTTGACTCTTAAAATTCATGGTCTTCATGTCTATTACAGTAATGCTCAAAGTACAGGAATTAACAAGATGTACTTGAATTCTTAATAGTGATAGGCAAATATGATTTGACAGGTATAATTACGGTGGGATGGAATACAGGAATTAAAGGATACAATTTGTTCAGAAAGAAGAGAAGTAATAGAGATGAAGAATTGTACCATATGTTAAAAAATACCTATGAATAAATTAACTTGGTAATATTGGAGAAAGGGTTAAAATAAAAGGGAGAACAAATAAAAGTAGCACTGCTTTTAGTATCTATTTTCATACTCACAAAAACATACCACAATCAAGGAGAAAATGTGGGTGATACTTTCCAAAAGCAAAGTGCAACCTTTTCAAAGAGGCATGAAGTTATAGAGATGGGAGACTTGAATTACCCCAATGTCTTTTGGGAGACAAATTTTGCTAAGTTTGGCCCTTCCAGGAAATTTCTGACTAGCCTTATACATAAATGGAGAAACATTAAAGTGAGTAGAGTAATTTGTGAAACTTGACAGAATGTTTATTAAAAATAGAAAATACATAAATTTTAAGACGTGCAAATGTTAGTAGCAATTAGTAGGTAGTAAGCATGTGGACTATTGTGAGGAATAAATACTTGTCAAAAGACATGAAAATGGCTGTGTGTAACAGCTTCTACCATTTTGTTGGGTGTAGGGAAATTTTACATGGAATCCAGATATGTCAGGAGAAAAAAAAAAGTTGAATACAGTGGGACTGGGGCTCTTAAGAGTCTGTGGTAATAGTGAGGAATAAGTGCTAAATTAATGTGGATTGAATACAAAAGTGGGTAACCACTATATAAGAAGGATATTTAAGTAGTTTGGCTATATAGAGAGAATGAATCACGGTTGGATGAAATTGATGAGATTCTCAAAAAGATGAGAAATTTAAAGAACGAGTTATTGTATGAAATGGCATGGATGGTTTAGATGGATGATTACACGGATAAACAGTTGTGGAGTAAGATACTGAATGGTGTTGTGTAAACTAGATGTAACTATATTTTCTTATCTCTTTTTTTTTTTTTTTGCTTGCTTGCTTGCTTTTTCCTATTTTTGCACTTTGCATAACACTGCCTAGCCCCAAAGTAATAGCATAATGGGTATGTAGAGAAAAATGCATCTATGAAGTTCATTATATTAATTAGGACCCAGAACAGATGTATATTATATCATATTGAAAAAAAGCCCAAAACAAATGGTAAAGCCTTATAGTTCAATGTCAAAGTAACTGCTATGTTATAATGTGCATGTTGTAATATTAAAATGCTATAGAAAGAAATGGGTGGTAGAACCTTACCTATCCTTGATTTTTTTCTAGAAGTAACTTTCCTAAGAATTACTCATGATTATATATCATTAAGAAATATTATTCACTGATGCAGTGTGCTTCATGCTCTGCACTTTACTACTGAGTTTATATTTAATTAGTGACATACTATTCAGCTTTCTTACCTTCTATTCACACTAAATTATTTGGCATTACATAATTGAGCCCAAGGCCACATAATTTTCCATAGAGAAAAATATCCCTGTAGCAGTACTTTTCTTAAATTTCAAGCTTCCCTGAAATTGAGCTGTTTTAAAGTAGACCCATTTATCTCAAGGTTTGATATGGGACCTTTTGGGGGAGCTCATTCCTGGATTTATCTAATCTGATTGGTTAATAAATTGATAAAGTCTGTTATTTAGTGTTATTTTGTTACATTTTATTTTACCTTATTCTTCTTTGGAGAAACCCAGGAAGGAAATAGATAATCTCACTGTGCACTTAATTATCACATCAGTTTAGTAAGGTAGATTAGTATGAGACATAATTAAACCACTGCAATTCCTCTGTATGAATAGTCAAAAATAAGATGAGCTTTACTCTCAGAAAAATGGGTAAACAGGCCTCAGAATAAAATTTATGTAAAGCATTCTAATAATAACAAATAGATATAATTCAGAGTCCAAGATAATGACTATATTCTATAGCCTTTTTTCTTCCTATCATTCTGAGTCAAAAATATTTGACCATTTTCTTGTAGGTCTTGGAAAGTAACTGATCTGTGTTGATACAGTGGTTCTCTTTAGCCTGAGAACTGCTGGTTCCTGCCTTGTTAACTTCAAGCACATTCATCTGCTATGTTCCAAAAATATAAATGTGTGATTTCAAAAATAAATGTTAAATTATATTTTAATTAGTCATAATATTGCACAGCACTTGCTTACCTCCTAGGAGTGAAAACCACTGTTTAGAAAATTGCAAATGAAACAGAATCTTAATGTGCTTTTGTGTGGTGGGTAAAGATCCCATTTTAGGAAACAAGATTATATATACAGGTGAAACTCGAAAAATTAGAATATCGTGCAAATGTTCATTTATGT